CAGCGTCATGGTGCACAAGTGTACAAACATGTTTACACAGAACCAGGTTATCAAAGATGGTGGAGAATCTTGGAGGTTATCTCGTCCTAAAAATAACTTTTTACTGGTACTTTTATTATCAACCTTGGCGATAATGAAGAACTGTAGAGATTTGGTGGGGAAAGTCAAGTGCGTTACATAACGGACTGATTTGAGCAAAGACGCGAGGATAGATGAATGGATAGATTATAGATAAAGATGGTATAATCAGACAGATAGGCGGACAGAAAGACAAACAGAATCCATGCATCGATGGGTGGATGGATGGATGGATGGATGGATGAATGGATGGATGGATGGACGGACGGACAGACAGATAGATGGACGGACGAACGGACAGACAGATGGATGGGGGGATGGATGGATGGATGGATGGAGGGATGGATGGAAGGATGGATGGATGGATGGACGGACGGACGGACGGACGGACGGACGGACGGACGGACAGATAGATGTATGGGTAAATTATAGAGATGGTATGATCAGACAGAAGGCGGACAGAAAGACAGACAGAATCCATCGATCGTCGATCTATGAATGGACGGACGGATTGACGGATGGACAGAGAGACAGACGGACGGACGGATGGATGGGTGGACAGATAGATGGGTGGATAGATGGATGGATGGATTAATGAAAGGACGGTGGGACGGACAGACAGACAGACAAACGGACGGACGGATGGATGGATGGATAGATAGATAGATAGATAGATAGATAGATAGATAGATAGATAGATAGATAGATAGATAGATAGATAGATAGACAAAGAGAGAAAACATGAAAGAAAGAAAGAGAGCGAGAGAGACAAGGGAACCAGTCAGATAGATGGATACATAGATGTAATGTGAAGGGAGGGGGGGGGGGGGGGGTGAGACTGGTTTGAATGAGAAAGAGACAATGGCATCAAACTCCTACTCCGTCGATACATTCATTACCCGCTTCCCCATTCATTGTCCTCGCAGACTCTTCCAGCGTGCCTACTCGTCTGTCTATCGGTTTATTGTCTCTCTGTCTGTCTGTCTGTGTGTCTCTTATTTCCCTTCCCTCTCTTTTACTCCTCCTTTTCACCCCTTGAGTGCCTATATTCGTTTGTCTATTGGTTTGTCTGTCTGTCTGTCTGTCTGTCTGTCTGTCTGTCTGTCTGTCTGTCTGTCTGT